ATACCGCTTTTTTTCATGTTATTTATATATCTAACAACTTAAATTTTAATGTTACATTCTTACCACTCATATAAAATTTTAATATCAAATATCTCATTCATATATTTCATTCTTATTATGGGTGTCAATATTGGACACGACCTGAAAACCCGACTCGAACTCGACCCGAAAATTTCGGGTTCGTGTTGATCCGAACCCGAACCGGGTCGAGTTCGGGATTAAGTTTTTGACCCGTTTGCAAAAGCGGGTCAGGTTCGGGTTGACCCGAAAACCCGATAATGACCCCGAATGACCCGCTGCCCGCCCTGACCGGGCTTGACCGAAGCTGCTCGCGTTGCAATCACGCATGACGCACGTCTCGACCCCGCTGCTCCGCTGTCCCATACCCACCGCGGCGCCGCCCGCCACGACGCTGGCCGCCTGCTTCGCGTCTCGCTGCAGCGCTGCCCTTCTGGCTTCTACTTCACATCCCGCTGCGGCCTCGAACCGGCCGCTGACGACCCGCAAAGGCGTAAACCCGGTGTTTCAGTGGATAGCGGGTCGTGTCGTGTTGACCCGAACCCGAAGCGGGTCAGGTTCGGGTCAAGAAAATTGACCCGTTTGTAAAAACGGGTCGGATTCGGGCTGACTCGAATGGTGCCGAGTCAGTTCCGAGTTTGATCGAATCCGACCCGTGACCCGAAATTGACACCCCTAATTCTTACCACCATATAAACTTGAATATTTCATTCTATACATTCATATTTATTTTATGGGTGGTAGATATGTAATATTAAAATTTTAAATGTTAAAAATGTAAATAACAAGAAATAAAGTAGCATGCCTAATTGCATATAAATCACCTAAAAAAGAATTATTTGTTTATTTATTTTTAAAATTTTGATCTCGTCGCATTCACGATTCCCAGTTCCCTCTTCTTAGTCCAGTCTTCATTTGTCATCTGGAGGCAAATGGAGTCTTACGGCGACACCGCGAGAGTTCGCAAAAAGGAAGAAAAAAGAGAGAACTTTTCTTTGCATTAAAAATTGCCGATTCTGAAACAACCCATCCTTGATTCGTATTTAATTCGATCGATCGAAAACGACTCCTAATAGTCTGCGATTACTTCCGTTTCTTGTAAGGGGGTAAGGCTTACCCCTTCTTATACAAGTTTCTCCTCTTCCTCATACGCTTTCTGTGATCACCATTCTCTACTACATCTAAGCAACCCGTGGGAGATCTCCTTCGATGTCCCTAGGGTTTGCTTCCTTTTCTCCATCCTAATTCTTGGGGGCTCCTTTTATTGGATTCTGGCCATTTAGGGAACGATGAAGAGGTCAAAGAGCATGGAAGCCTTCGTTGGGAGGAAATGGAGGTTATCTCACATCCTCTTCGCCGTGACCGTGGTTTATCTGCTGTTCGTCGGTTTCAAGTTTTACCATATACTTGATATTGTGGGCTTGAATAGCGGCGAACGGAATTTCAGCGACGATGGCCGTCGTCCTGTGAAAGGGAACGATGTAGCCGAAGTCAGCCGGCCACTGTTGGTTTCCACCTACGCGGGTTCGCTACATCGCCGCCTCGATGACGGAAACCCTCCGCGGAAGCCAGACGGTGACCCACTCGTCCTCCCTGCCCACCGCAAGCCCGTGTTCTCTTTCGACCACTATGGCAGGATCACCGGAGCCATAATGCAGAGACGACGGCACTGGGGTGGCAACCTCACTGAGTTGGAGAGGATGACTCATGAGGCGTGGGATTTAGGAATGAAGGCTTGGGAGGAGGTAAAGAATTATGTGGATAAAGGGGAGTTGAACCCAGCTGCATTGCTTGAAGGGAAGCAGGAGCCCTGCCCATTGTCGGTCTCTATGGGTAAGAATGAGATTGGCGCCAAAGAAAGCTTGATCTTTCTTCCTTGTGGACTCGAGGTGGGATCATCGATCACTGTGATTGGTACTCCTCACAGTGCTCATGAGGAATATGTGCCTCAGCTGGCGAGGTTGAAACTGGGGAATGGGGTAGTTATGATGTCCCAGTTTACTGTTGAGCTGCAAGGGCTTAAAGCTGTTGATGGAGAGGAACCTCCAAAGATCTTACACTTCAATCCAAGGCTGAAGGGTGATTGGAGCGGCAGGCCTGTCATTGAGCACAATACATGTTATAGAATGCAATGGGGGAAATCAATGCGCTGTGATGGAATTGCCTCGAACGATGATGATGATACAGGTATGTTAGTGATACTGCTGTTCTTGAAGTGATAATACCTGAGGTTTTCTTTATTTTAATGGTTGATTGTTTCCTGGTTGCTGTCATAGAGGTGATATGCCAGATTTAGCTTTGATTTTGCTAGTTAATAAATCCAAGTTTTTCAAATGATTCTAGCCTTTGGTGGAATGTTTGTGTGAAACATGTATTGTAGTTTTTCTTTTTCTTTAGATTTAGGCTTTGTGCAGTGTGCATTTCTTTTGCGTACAACGTGCCTCTGAAACCCACCAACCATCAGTCTATGTGAAACTTAGTGTTTTTTATGATGTATTTTCCACAATAAACAAGAACTGATAAAATAAGAATATGCTGTTACGTTGGGGTTTGTTGGGTGTAAGGTAAAGTGGGCTTGACTAACTTTTTTTTCTTTTTTCTTTTGCTTCCAGCCTTCCATGTTTCATATCCCTTTCTATTAATAACGTTTTATTATAGCTGTAATGGAATGTTTGGTACAACCAATGTTTCCAAGGGTATGGACGTTTATTGAATTGCTCGGCAATTCACTGAGCTGCTTGTTAAAATTTATCCAACTGCCCTTGAATGGTTTCTACAAGGAAATTTGAATATTTTTCGTTCCTTCTTTTTTTTGGTCTCATAACTGTTTGCTGTGGGCGTGGGAAACATAGACATCTTATTAAGCTTCAAGTTAGTAAAAGAAAATTCCTTTTGCCTATAACTGGAACATTTATGATGATAAACTCTCTCTTTTTCTCTAGAACGATGTTCAAAATGAAATTCTTGGAAGCCAATTGCAAACCAAAATTCGTTGAATTCTGTTGGAAATCATGTTATTGCATAGTAAACCTCTAGTTCACATATGGGATGGCTTTTGGTGGGTTGAATTTTCCTCATATTTTTCTTCATCTGTGATGCGGTGCACTATAGCCTTATCGTGAGCTGGGTAACATCTCACCCTTTTTCTGCTTAGGCCGTTGCTGGTTTGATCTCCACTATCACCTTTATCCTTTATTAGTTATATAGTACAAAAAGCTACTTTCTGTTTTTTACACTTTTAGTAGAATATGAATATTCTGATAGTATATGAGTAGTTCCTGTAGAGAGGAAGACATCTTTTACAATTTGATCAATAGAATCACTATAGTTCTCTGTTATTGCTTGCTTGTTCTTCTGCTTGTTTCCAGCTTGCAGGTGTTGCGGCATCAATCTGGAATGTTTCATCTTTATGAGCAAATGTAGTATTGTTGTGCCAGTCATTTTAAAAGTTCAACAAGTCATTTGTCATGTCATTAGACCTTGAACCATGGAATCAAATTTTATTAGATCATTATCAGTATTTTAGTTACAATTGCAGCTACAGCTTGGTTATGCAACCCAAACATTTATTTAAAATCAAGAGTTGTACAACTAGGCTGAAACAACAATATTATACTAACCAAGCAGCATTTTTCATGCTTCAGGTTTTCGTTATCTTAGTGTTGTTCAGTGGCTATCCTTATTTATGCCTGTTGGTTAACATTGTAATTTAGGGTGCATGTTTGAAGATAAACCCATTAAAATCAGGTTGTTGAAACCATCAAAACTTAATGCAATCAACTGGTTTATATTGGGGCTATTAATTAGTCAAATAAAGCACCTTCAACATTTGGCAACTATTTATGCAAATAAAGCACCTTTAACTCTATCATCATTGCTCCTAGAAAATTAAAAGAGAATTCTCATTTTTAGGTAGAAAGCAATGTTATTTCTTGTTATGTGAAACATTGGTTGCTTTACTCTTGATGCAGATTTCCGTTATCCGGTCTAACCTTATAACTTTGTACATTTTTTTTTTCTAAATTTTTTCTAGAAATTTCAAATTAGAATCCATGAGGGCAGTATTTCACTATATTAATTAGTCAAAATTATGTAGCTTCTTTTTTTGCTTATTCCAAAATATTCCTTGATACTGTATTCTTTTTAACTCATTTATCTTAAGGCTAGCATACTTTGGCTAAAAATGTACAATTTCCCCTTTTTCCTTTTTTTTTTGGACAGTTGATGGGTTCATTAAATGTGAAAAATGGCTACGTAGTGATGTTGATTCAAAAGAATCCAAAACAACTGCTTGGTTGAAGAGATTCATAGGTCGGGCAAAGAAACCAGAAATGACATGGTCGTATCCATTTGTAGAGGGCAGGTTGTTTGTCCTGACATTTCGTGCTGCTGTAGAAGGATATCATGTTTATGTTGGCGGACGACACATAACTTCATTCCCATATAGGCCGGTAAGTATTGGCTATGCTTAATGTTGGGGCTTATGTTGCTTTTGTCCTAGTAAATCTTTTTTACTGGCACAAAGTTTTCATGTGCATGCTTGTGTGTTATTTTGCAGTTATTGTAAACAGCTAATTTATTATTTTCTTACTATTTAGGGGTTTACTATTGAAGATGCCACTGGTTTAACTATCAAAGGAGATATTGACGTGCATTCAGTATTTGCTTCTTCTCTTCCTGATTCCCACCCAAGTTTTTCTCCCCAGCAAGTTCTAGAACTTTCAGAATCATGGAAGTCTAGTCCTCTTCCAGAACATCCCATTGAGCTTTTCATCGGCATTCTCTCTGCCACCAATCATTTTGCAGAACGCATGGCTATTAGAAGAACTTGGATGCAGTATTCTGCTATCAAGTTGTCAAATGTTGTTGCCCGTTTCTTTGTCGCACTGGTAAGTGTTTCTTCGCAAGAACTTATGTATACCTTAACTTGATTTGAGTTTGGTTATTGTTGTTTTACTCAAATATGCGGATTTTATATTCACTAGCTATACATTTCTTTTGATTTTGAAAATTTAATTTAGCATGCTTGCATATTGATTAATTCAACATAGTATATTTATTTCCTTTAATTTGAATAGGCAAGATTTCAAATTCACTAGCATTGCATTTAATTTGCTTAAGGTGGAGTTTAGCATTAACTATATATCAATTCATTCAATTTAGTATCAGTTGCTTTGAACTTGAATATATGTTATTAAATTGAATTTACTTAAACCCCATGTTGGATTTCATCTTAGGAAGAATTTCAATATGATTTAATCATGGAATTAAACTGTGTTTTAAAATGTGTTTGCTTTTGATTTGATTGATTTTTTTTATTGATCTTGTGTTTTTGTTTAGTTTTAGGAATGATTTATTTTGTCAATTTATTTGAAGTTTATGCTTGAATTAAATTCATTATATTAGTTAATTCACTCTAACGTGCCTGGCTTAGGTTCTGCTTTTGTTTCTATTGCACTATGCGTTTATCTGGTTCAAATCTTATTTGGTACTTGTATTGATCCTAGTTTATCGCAGTTATGGGTCCAACTCAATGTGATTTGTTCAGACTTTTTTTTTCCTTGTTTAATTGCAACAAATGTGCATGCTCCACTTCAGTTTCTATTCAAAGATCAAGTATTAGTTTTTGTATATTATATTTGGCAAGTTCAGCTTAATGTAATTAACTCTAATTTTGATTTGATTTGTTTGCAACACATTTACATGTTTAATCTGAATTTCTATTTGAAGAACAATTATCGACTTAATCCACAAGCAACTATTCACATTATAATTTAAGATAAATGTGCAACCAAATTCTAAGTGTTCAGATATCTCAATTCCATCATGTTAGTTGATTCAATTTAATATGATTAGTTTAGATCTTAATTTAATTCAATTACATTATATATGTTTCATTTAATTTGTGGTTTAAAGTTCATATTATTGTTGAATTTGTTATAGAGATTTGTTTTAAAATTTATATGCAAGCTCCTAAATATTTAAAGACTTCTATTCTAACAATATGTATAGGAATTCAAACTAAATCAAAGTAATCAAGCCTACCTATGCTTCTTATAACATCATTCATTCATATATAAAGAATATGTTCATTGGGTTGCCAAGCATTGATGAGGGCTACCATACACAAGCCTAGGATTTAGGGGATCGACGCACACATATAAACAATGGCCAGCAGACTTGTTATTCTAAGTTTAAGGAAAATGCGGAAAAAAGGTGAAAACAACCAGCACTTATGATTTCAGCCATTTGATTCAACTGTGTTTGATTTGGATGGCTTGGATAGGATAAAAATAGAGATAGGCTGAAACGAATGAGTTGGTTTGGCTTTGATTTGAGTTAATTTAGTCTGATTTGTGCCAATTAGATCAATTAATGTTGATTTGACTTAATTAGGCCCAAATTAACTCTTTTGGTTTACATACTCTTTCAGTATTAAATAGAAAAAGTCAAATTTTTTCCCAAATTAGACAACAAGCTAATTCTAAAACATTTTATCTTCAACAACTTTTTGGCACTACCCGGTTTACTATGCTGAACCCCATATCATTTTAAACTTGATTTGCAGAGTCCAAGAAAGGAGGTTAATGTGGTTCTGAAGAGAGAAGCAGAATATTTTGGAGACATCATTATCTTGCCATTTATGGATCGTTATGAGCTAGTGGTACTAAAAACTGTTGCTATTTGTGAGTTTGGGGTAAGAATGTTCCCTTGTTGCTAATTAGCACTCTTTTATTGTGCTTTGCAAATGTTTTTTTTTTTTTTTTTTTTCAGATTTGTTTTTTTTTTGCAGATTTGGGAATTATAGGCTCCCTGGTTTATTTGTGCGACTTAACTACCAATCTTTTGCAGGTAAATAACTTGACCGCTGCATATATTATGAAATGTGATGACGACACATTTGTTCGGCTGGATGTTGTGCTGAGGGAGATAAATAATGCCGCCGGCCGGAAATCCCTTTATATGGGCAATCTTAACCTCTTGCACAGGCCCCTCAGGAATGGAAAATGGGCAGTAACTTTTGAGGTTAGTTGTTTGAACAAACAAACAATCATCAGGCCATTAATGTTTTACGTTCCTAAACAATCATTAGCTCTTGATTTAAACAAATCATTTTCCCCCCTAAAGTTTCGTTTGAAACAGCTTTTTTGCTGCTTTCTAAAACTGTTTTTAATGCAAAAATTTTATGAATTAGAAACTTCTGTACTAAAAAGTTGTTTTAGAAAACAACAAAAAAACTATCCTCCGTATATCCTCATATACCCATTCCATGGATGCAGGAATGGCCAGAAGAAGTATATCCTCCGTATGCCAATGGACCTGGTTATGTAATATCGAGCGACATCGCAAAGTTTATTATATCTAAGCATGCCAACCATACCTTGAGTGTATGTTCATCAACTATGGAATCATCAATATATATTATAATAAAACAAGACCTAAAAGAAATTCAAATTGAATTGCTTTGTTTTGTTGGCTGTTTTCAGATGTTCAAGATGGAAGATGTAAGCATGGGCGTGTGGGTTGAGGAGTTCAATGCTTCCACCCCTGTCAGGTACTCTCACAACTGGAAGTTCTGCCAGTATGGCTGTATGGATGGATACTACACTTCACATTATCAATCTCCAAGGCAAATGATCTGCCTATGGGATAAACTGGCAAGAGGTCGAGCCCAGTGCTGCAACTTTAGGTGAAAACCTTGCACAGGTTCGGACCAATTTGTCCATTTCTCACGCCATTTTTACAGGGGTTGATAATTTTTTTGTGCAATGCTATATTGCCGGGGGGATTTAATTTATATGATGGAAGATCTAGTGATGACCAACATTTCCTTCCATGCCTGCCTTGGCCCCAAATAGGTTTTTTTTTTTCTTTTTTGTTGCTGCTTTTAGTTTAATGTAAGGTTGTTTGAATTGAAGAAAATAATAGAATGCTTGGTTGGTTTTGTGCATTGAAGAACATGCCAGAGATATACTGGATACTTGTATACTTGTTCAATCTTGAACTAGAAATTGCCTGTATGAATGAGGTTACGACCTTAGATTTTGTTCTCCAAGTGTATTCATTACTTCAATTGATATTGATTGAAGCAGGAAAATGATGCCAATCTAGTGATGACTCACATTGATCTGTTATTTGGGAGTTTTAACTATCAATCAAAAAGATTTATATTAGAAGCTTGTGTAACAGCTATTGAATTCATGCACAGTTGCACATGTATGACCAGTTTTGATATTGGCAACTTACTCAATTTTTACATTTAATACCTCTTGCATGTATATGTGAATATTCTACATGCATGGGTGTAAATCTATTCTAAAGCAGGTCTTTGGGGGTCTATATGCATGCATTAAAAATTTGAAAATTTTCCTTGGGAGCGTCGCAACTCCGAGATAGGTGGTGCTAGTACATTAAGCTCTCTGTCTTTTTGTCAAATTAATTCAAAGCTGTAGTGTTGCGGCCCCATGCTCTTTAGTAGATAATGATGCAGTGTTGCAAGCCAAGTCTTGCGGCGCCAACCCTAAATGTTATAAAAATATCAAAATCTATTAAAATTGTATTAAATCAAATCCATTTCCCCTTAAGTGCAACTAACTAGAGAGAGAAGATTTTTTAGAAAGAGAAAAGTAGGTTATGACTATTTCGATTTGTTTTTTGTTGTTGGCCTAATTTTAAAAGTTGTTCGGATTGAGATATATCAAGTTCTATCTACCTTGGTTTTTAAAAATACAATAATTTTTGAATTTTTCTGATTAAATTTATAATTTCGTTGTGGGCTTCGTAGATATGTGTATTTGGTGTATAGTAGCAGCATGGTTTAGGTATTTGAAATTTTAGAAATTTAACAATCTTGCACTTAAAGCGAATAGTAGGGAAGTGATAATGAACTTGAACAAGATCTCGTGGTTCCATCGTCCTAGGCCACCATGGTCCCTGGTCTCCTTATAGTTAGAGGTAGTCGATCCAACCTGACAGAATGATCCTTATCGGCAGTCATAGGTTACTTCATCCAAGGGTACCTTGTAGACCTGACGTGGATATTTTTCTAAAAGGATAAATTTGAATCCACCTTAGATGACAAAGGGCTTTGCGCCCTATCGATTATATCCTATTGATTCATATCTCAATGATTTAATGTCATTGGGGAGCATACAGGCTCTGGCCATGACCATAATTTAGTTGTTTCATTTGCGGCAAACCACCCGGTTAAGAGGACCCTGATCATAATCGTTTATTTACAGTGTCATTTAGCAACAAAATCATTGGTGTTGTGTCATTTGACGACAAAACAACCTATTACAGAATATGTGTCACAACCTTACTAGCAAAATCATTGGTGTGGTGTGGTGTCAAAGGGGTGTTTTGCATTTTTTAAATGTTGTAGGCTGAATGGGTGACTATTGTTGCAAAATATGCATGATTTTATTGTGGACTTTATTGACACCTTATGTCTGTTTGTACGAAGGTTGCAGATCCAGTGGCTTGTTGTTGTGCTTCAATGGCTTGTGGTCTTTTACTATCGATTTCCTGCTTTTGCTTACAGATGAATTGTAGCGTTACATTCAAAATAGCCATGAGGTACTTTTGTTGTTATGATGTAGGCTCTCTTTTCTCATTCTTCGGGAGATCAAATCCATGAATTAACTGATCATTATTAGATTAGATAAAAACATCTAAATGACATTTAGACATGATGTCATTTTGTGATAGATGAGACCAAAGGCTCGGTTGACGCATTGTTAGGATTCTTTGGCTTATGATGAGATGATCTTTGCTAAGTACGAGCATGCAAGGTTGTGAAAACTGGACCGGACAACGAACCGGAAGAGGGAGAGGTTCATGGTTCGACCGGTTCGACCGGTCGAACCGGGGTCGAATCGGATGACGTAATAAATAATAATATTATTAAAAAGTAATAACATAAAAAATCATATAATATAAGTATATGAGCATTTAATAATATTTATAAAATTTTAAAATATATAATAAAATTTTATACATATAAATATCATTTAAGAATAATATAATTATAAGAATA